GCAGAAACCCTTGTTGGCAAGCACAGAGGTAAGATGTTTTTTGTAGTTGGTCACCACGTTTGCACACATCTCAGGAGCGATTTTGGTCCACTCCTCTTTACAGATTCTCTCTAAATCCTTAAGGTTTCTTGGATGTTGTTTGGCAACTTGAAGTTTCAGCTCCCTCCACAGATTCTATATAGGATTGAGGTCTGGACACTGGCTAGGTCACTCCATGGCCTTAATGTGCTGCTTCTTAAGCCACTTCTTTGTTGCCTTGGCGGTATGTTTCGGGTCATTGTCATGCTGGAAGACCCATCCATGACCCATCTTCAGTGTTCTGGCTGAGGGAAGAAGGTTCTCGTCCAAGATTTTACAGTACATGGCCCCGTTCATTTGCCCCTCAATGCGGTGAAGTCGTCCTGTACCCTTAGCAGAAAAACAGCCCCAAAGCATAATGTGTCCACCTCCTGTTCTTGGGGTCACAGTCAGCATTTCTCTCCCTCCAAACAAGTCGAGTTCATGGCCAAAGAGCTCAATTTTGGTCTCATCTGAACATAGCACTTTCTCCCAAGCCTTCTTGGAATCATTTAGATGTTCTTTGGCAAACTTTAAATGGGCCTGTACATGTGCCTTCTTGAGCAGGGGGACCTTGTGGGCGCTGCAGGATTTCAGTCCATTGCGGCGTAGTGTGTTACCAATGTTTTGCTTGGTGATTGTGGTCCCAACTGCCTAAAGCCCCGTTCACACTAGCAGCAACTTTTGTCGCTGCATGTCGCCAGGGGCTGGCGATAAGGTTGCTAGTGGGCGTTCTCAATACTGGTTGCCTTGACAGCGAATCAGGTTTCTTGCCGCTAAGTACAAACATTTTGGAGGCAAAAATGAATTAAATATAATCTAAATCTAAATTAAATCCATACATACAAACAAAAAAAAGAATGAGAAACAGAGCCTACTTTCTTCCACTGCATATGTTTATCTACGTCGCTGGACACGCCCCATCCATTCCCCATGAAATCGCCAACTCTCCATTGAAATGAATGGGATTGTGTCGCTTTGCGGTTGCGTGTCGCTTGTAGTGTGAACAGGGCTTTAAGATCATTAACAAGCTCCTCCTGTGTAGTTCGGGGCTGATCCCTCACCTTTTCTCATGATCATCCTTACCCCCATGAGGCGAGATCTTGCACGGAGCTCCAGACCGAGGCAGATTGATGGTTGTTTTGTATTTCTTCCATTTCCGAATAATTGCACCAACAGTTGTCTCCTTCTCACCAAGCTTCTTGCTGATGGTCTTGTAGCCCATTCCAGCCTTGTGCAGATCTACAATCTTGTCTCTGACATCCTTTGACAGCTCTTTGGTCTTGCCCATGGTGGTGGGAGAGGTTGGAATGGAAGATACAGATTGTGTGGACAGGTGTCTTATACACCTAACAAGCTGACATTAGGAGTAACTTCTTCAAGTGGTAGGACTAATCTGTGTTCCACATGGGCACATAACCAGTCTGTGGGAGCCAGAATCCTTGCTGGTTGGTAGGGGATCAAATACTTATTTCACTCACTGAAATGCAAATCAATCTCTAACCTTTATATAATGTGTTTTTTCTGGATTTTTTTGTTGGTATTCTGTCTCTATCCAAAATAAACCTACCATATAAATTACAGATTCTTCATTTCTTTGTAAGTGGGCAAACTTACAAAATCAGCAGGGGATCAAATAAATATTTTCCCCACTGTATATATATTATAGAACAGGGTTTGCCAACTGGTGGACTCCGGTCCGAATTCGGACCGCGAAGCCTTTTGACATAATGAAATAAATAAATCCCAGACGCTATTTTCTAACAAAATTGAATTTGTATCAAGCACATCAAGGTCAGCTCAGTAGAGCTGTTTGGGTCTTATGGCACCATGGGTTGTTACTACAGTTAACTCTTGCTATGGTCAGACATGCGGCTGTGCATGCAGTGAAGAGAGCAGAAAGCAGCGCACATACAGATGAAACTTTCAGTGAGTGAAAAACAATGGCATTCTCAAAAATGAGGAAAGTTGAAGGGTCCTTAAAAAGTCCTAAATTTAGTTCAAATTTAAATTTCAATCAAATTGAAGACCATAAAAACGCTTAAAAGGTACTAGAAAGTCTTAATTATGATTTCAGGAGGTCTTAAATTTGGGGACGGAAAGACAAGAATTGCGATACAGCTGAATGTAACAATTAAACTTCAAAAGGCTGTGATTTAATTGAATAAACATGAGCGCTGCACGTTTCAAAGTCAGCTGCTGCGCTGTTTTGTTTACAGCCGTTACCAGGAAAACTGCATTATTTCTGCCATTCCAAAAGCGCCTCCTGCTGGCAGAGAATGAATGTGCATTTTCAGTAAGCCCACCTGCTGTTTCTGTTCAGAACCAATGCGAAAATCAAACAATGTTTTTACCCTGCAAAAACGCAGAATTGTAAACGTGAGCTTGTGGATCGACAAGAAGAAAATGTATCAGAAAAATGTAAACAATTAAGACAGCAACATATATTTACTGTATATGTTATTTAATTGATATAATAACTGATTGGTAATATATATTTTGACTCCATTTTCTTAAAAAGAAATGGTTTAAAGGCTGAAATATGAAGTAAAAAACTTTTTGTTTTTGTGAAAACCATAATTCATAATTTTTACAGTCATTTTAATTTCATTTGTGCAGGTCTTAAGAAGTTTTACATTTTAGCTTAAATATACTGCAGATTCGCTGGTCTGGCAAAAACGATCAATTCATGTTTTTGGGTAAATAATTGTCTGGACCTCAGCTGGTGAGGAGTGTTCATTACTGGACCTTAAGCAATTTTAGTTTATTTTATAGTATTACTGTACATATGATTGCAGCATTACCAACAAACTTGTATTACTGTGAATATTTCTTTGTAAAAGTGATCTTGTTTGATGATTAATCTTACCAAGAAAGGTGCCCAGGAAGAAGACACCCAGAGGCACATTAATGACCGGCGAGGTGATGTTGATGAACCAGTTTGGAAGAAAAGGAGTTATTCTCAAAAAAATGATGTAATTAATGAGATGCTCTCTGTGCTTGTCCACCTGGAAATTTCAATCAAATTGAAGACCATAAAAACGCTTAAAAGGTACTAGAAAGTCTTAATTACGATTTCAGGAGGTCTTAAATTTGGGGACGGAAAGACAAGAATTGCGATACAGCTGAATGTAACAATTAAACTTCAAAAGGCTGTGATTTAATTGAATAAACATGAGCGCTGCACGTTTCAAAGTCAGCTGCTGCGCTGTTTTGTTTACAGCCGTTACCAGGAAAACTGCATTATTTCTGCCATTCCAAAAGCGCCTCCTGCTGGCAGAGAATGAATGTGCATTTTCAGTAAGCCCACCTGCTGTTTCTGTTCAGAACCAATGCGAAACTCAAACAATGTTTTTACCCTGCAAAAAACGCAGAATTGTAAACGTGAGCTTGTGGATCGACAAGAAGAAAATGTATCGGAAAAATTTAAACAATTAAGACAGCAACATATATTTACTGTATATGTTATTTAATTGATATAATAACTGATTGGTAATATATATTTTGACTCCATTTTCTTAAAAAGAAATGGTTTAAAGGCTGAAATATGAAGTAAAAAACTTTTTGTTTTTGTGAAAACCATAATTCATAATTTTTACAGTCATTTTAATTTCATTTGTGCAGGTCTTAAGAAGTTTTACATTTTAGCTTAAATATACTGCAGATTCGCTGGTCTGGCAAAAACGATCAATTCATGTTTTTGGGTAAATAATTGTCTGGACCTCAGCTGGTGAGGAGTGTTCATTACTGGACCTTAAGCAATTTTAGTTTATTTTATAGTATTACTGTACATATGATTGCAGCATTACCAACAAACTTGTATTACTGTGAATATTTCTTTGTAAAAGTGATCTTGTTTGATGATTAATCTTACCAAGAAAGGTGCCCAGGAAGAAGACACCCAGAGGCACATTAATGACCGGCGAGGTGATGTTGATGAACCAGTTTGGAAGAAAAGGAGTTATTCTCAAAAAAATGATGTAATTAATGAGATGCTCTCTGTGCTTGTCCACCTGCAACGACATTAAACAACATCGGCTCAACGTTATGGCCAGTGAATTTACATACAAAAATGAAAGCTATTTGTATGAAAATGTCACCTGTTGTGACCATTTCTGAGCTCTCTCTGTGAGGTACTTATACACCATCGGCCTCCCGACTAAATAAGACAACATATAGCAAAAAGACGCTCCAAGGCCTGAACACTGTAAACCATAAAACACAACAACATATTTACAGAACAAAAAGTAATTTTTCAATGTTTGGCAGACAGACAGTTTTGAAATGAATTCGACTACAAACAAGGAACTTACCAGACAGACCAGGAAGAGAGCTATTGGAAAAGGATAGAGATAACCAGACAGTATACTGAGAAATATTGAGCCTGGAATGGCAAACGTCTGAAGGCTGAGTAAGGCTTAGTTAAAGCTTTAACTCAATAGTGAATAAACACAGAGAAAGCCGGGCCTAATTTGTTATGTAGCTTATACAAACATGAATAACAGATACTCCAAGCAATTTGTACGGTGGCCGAGAAGTGCAAAACAAATCACAATTCTGAAAACAAAATAACAAATTACAAACGCAAATGCAAGCCTAAAAAACTAAATAACAATTCAGAAAACACAACAAAAATTCAGAACGCAGAATTGTAAACGTGAGCTTGTGGATCGACAAGAAGAAAATGTATCGGAAAAATTTAAACAATTAAGACAGCAACATATATTTACTGTATATGTTATTTAATTGATATAATAACTGATTGGTAATATATATTTTGACTCCATTTTCTTAAAAAGAAATGGTTTAAAGGCTGAAATATGAAGTATAAAACTTTTTGTTTTTGTGAAAACCATAATTCATAATTTTTACAGTCATTTTAATTTCATTTGTGCGGGTCTTAAGAAGTTTTACATTTTAGCTTAAATATACTGCAGATTCGCTGGTCTGGCAAAAACGATCAATTCATGTTTTTGGGTAAATAATTGTCTGGACCTCAGCTGGTGAGGAGTGTTCATTACTGGACCTTAAGCAATTTTAGTTTATTTTATAGTATTACTGTACATATGATTGCAGCATTACCAACAAACTTGTATTACTGTGAATATTTCTTTGTAAAAGTGATCTTGTTTGATGATTAATCTTACCAAGAAAGGTGCCCAGGAAGAAGACACCCAGAGGCACATTAATGACCGGCGAGGTGATGTTGATGAACCAGTTTGGAAGAAAAGGAGTTATTCTCAAAAAAATGATGTAATTAATGAGATGCTCTCTGTGCTTGTCCACCTGCAACGACATTAAACAACATCGGCTCAACGTTATGGCCAGTGAATTTACATATAAAGTAGCTCACTTTAAATGTATTGTATGAATTGCCCTTACTATCGAATAAAAAATGCGAAGTGTATATATACACATTTAGTTAAAAGTGGCTGTAAGTTATCAGCTCCAGTGGCGCAGATGGATAAGTGCGTGTCGTTGGCTTTTTGACGCGATCGACCCGGGTCGTCTTTTGCCGAATTTTTTTTTCCTTCCTTTTCAAATCTCGTATTAGCAATGGATTATATTTACACTAAGTGAAAATAGCAGTATTTTTAGCAATATGCCATTTACACTAAGTGCAAATACCTATTTACACTATGTTAAAATAGCAGGATTTCTACTATCAAGTATACTACTTGTTCCAAATAGTGGCAATTATCTGCACTTCAGTATTGTAGTACATTATAAAACAGTATACAATAATAACGTATTGAGTGTAAATTATCATTTTAATTTTAATTATTAAATGGATGCTACCTTATTGGTACAATAAAGCCCTCCCTACACCTACCCTAACCCTACCCGATGCTTTATTTTCAACGTTTTGATTATTTCCTTAATTTTTATTGAAAATAAATGCCTTTACGATGTGATACGAGATTTGAAAAGGGAGAAAAAAAAGTTCGGCAAAAGGCGGGATCGAACCCGGGTCGATCGCATCAAAAAGCCAACGACACACACTTGTCCATCTGCGCCACTGGAGCTGATGTTTTACAGCCACTTTTAACTAAATGTAAATATACACTCCGTATTTTTTATTCCATATTAAGGGCAATTCATACAATACATTTAAACTGAGCTACTTTAATACCAATATTTTAATCTTCCGGTTTGTCTGATTTGTCATTGTTTTCTGACTTGTTAATTTGTTTTCAGATTTGTCTGTGTTTTCTGACTTGTTATAATGTTTTCTGAATTGTTGTTGTGCTTTCTGAATTGTTATTTAGTTTTTTAGACTTGCATTTGCATTTGTAATTTGTTCTTTTGTTTTCAGAATTGTGATTTGTTTTGCACTTCTCGGCCACCGCAAATTTGTCTGCCAGCAGGGGTCTAATTTGACCCATAAAAAAAAAAAAAGTTCTGAAAAAAATTAATCAAGATTAATCATGGCACAAAGGATACAAGATGTATGTTGCAAAGTACGCTAAAAGCACTTGGGTGTAATATGTGTCCTTGTATTTGGACAGTACTGTGCCCAATGCCTTGGCATCATCCATGTCTTTAGGAATTTGTATTTTTTCTCTCTCGTCTCTGCAAGACATGAAGAAAAACGTCAAACCTTTGTCGAGTCACCAAAACACCCTTAATGTTCAGTACACAAACCTACAGTCAGAAGGGGAGGTAGACTTACTCGCTCAGTTCTGGGAAATTTCTGAACACCAGATACATGACACAAGCCGAAAAGGCAAAGATAGTGATGAGGAGGAGGATTGACATGCGTGCAGAGGCTCCTCTTGGTGACTGGGCTCCTGAGGGAATAATTCAAAAACAGCATGAATAACCTCTAATATCACCCATGCAACACATTGCATACATTTGCATCACTTGTTCACAATCCTCAGGGAGATTCAGGCCCGTGAGAGCTCTCGTTTGTGGTGAGCCAGAGAACTACAAAGCCAAAAATCACATATGATAATGTGACAACATCTTAAAGGAGCAGTATGTAAACTCAGTCCCATTTTTGCTGATTTACAAAAATAACAATGTTTAAACTCAGGAAAATCTGAGTGGCTCTTTACTGTACAAAGAGGTTTACAGCCTTAAGAACGAGTCATTGACATTGTGGTCTTTACTAAGGGCATTTATATTAAACATTAATACAATTAATTAAAAAAAAATTATCATTAGGCTGAAGATGCTTTTTTTTTTTTTTGCATTAAATCCAAAACTTTTTCATATGGGCGTTTACAAAAACTATCATACAATCAAGGCATAAATCTAGTAGGTTTAATTTGTGGATATTTCTGCTATTCAGTATTTAAAGATACTCGGTTCACTCAGACTCAGAAAGAGACCGTTCTCAGTTTGGTGAGAACCACTCTGACCAATTCAGTCCGACTCCTAACTGAAAAAAATCACATGCAGTGTTTTTAATTTGTCCTGTGACATCACAGGTCACAAATGATGTTGAAATGTTTTGGCCAGTTTAATATCTACTGGGACAAAGTATGACACATTCAAAACAAATTTTGTATCAACCGCAAAATTATTAAAGTATCCTACAAACATACAACTCTCCACTTAAGCTTGTTTTGGAAAGATTTCAGCTTCAACATATACCCATGAATTTTGTGTACTGGAAAAAGAAAAAAATTTGCATTTGTTTTTGTTGTGCATTATTTTGGATTAAGAAACATATATTAACAGAAAACTGTGATGTATTTGGATGTGCTTTTTTGTTTAAGAATGGCATTTTGAAATGTAAAGAACAATATAATATTATATATTTTATTAAGTAAATAACATTCATAAGTAGTTTTCACGTTTTAAAACAATATTTATTTTACATATTAGAATGACTTTAAATTTATACATATACCCAGTGTTGGGGGTAATATATTACAAGTAACGCAAGTTATGTAATCAGATTACTTTTTTCAAGTAACTAGTAAAGTAACGCATTACTTTTTAATTTACAAGAGAATATCTGAGTTACTTTTTCAAATAAGTAACGCAAGTTACTTTTTTTTCAATTTATTGATTGACAGCTCTCCTGTCCCCATGCTGAGAGAAATCAGAAGATGTTACAGTAGTTCTAAAATAAATATGAATATGCATTAACTCATCTCACTCACACACAAAAAAAACACACAGATTCAGTATTCCTCAAAATGAATAAAAATAATGCAACTCAGAATATGACGCAAACCTGCAATAATTAAATGTTAAACAACACAAATATGCTTTATGTATTTAATCCCATTCTATTAACCAATGTCTTTGCTTCTGACCTTCGATGATCCAGTTCAACCGTACTAATAAGCAAAAAT